GGTGGATACTTTACGAGGAATCTACGATCAGCATAGGTTTATTCGGATTATTTTTTACCTTCATATGAGATTTGTAAATTTTGAGGAGTAGACCGATACATCTTTGTACATTTTGTAGGTTTGGTAAAAATTTTAAAGAAGAATATTAGATTAAAAAAATCCTGTCGTTATCTGGGTTAAAAATTGGCTAACTATGTCCCTCGTTGCAAAGTTATTGATAACTGTTTGTTTACAAAACCGAAAGTGGTAATTCCGAATTTCGACGTCGTCAAACAGTTATGTGTCAATAATATTTTTAGAAGCACATTATTTGGAAATTAATTGGAGTTTAACCAATGACGTCAACGAGTTCCAATATAAACAAAACAATTTTACGTAAGCGTTATGCAGTCAACACAACAAAAAAAATCCGTGTCAACCTTCATTATCAATATTGTGATCTCTGTCCGAAATTCGTAGACTAAAAAAGAGGATTTGATTCTCATACACACATTTCCTTTGCTAAATTTACTACTATTATTATGTTTAACCTGGTACATTTTGTTCGAAATTAATATCCTCAACCACTTCAGATTGTTTTGCAAAACAAGAGCCTTAATAGCAGTAAATTTGTCACCTAAAAGAATAACAACAAAAACAAGAGATTATCACTGTGATTAGCAGCGCTGACATCAACACTGTAAGTGTTAGGTGTTTTTTGCAGGTAAATTATTATTTTTCCACCAAGCTAATCAATTTGAATAGATGTATAAATATGTTCCACAGCAACAAGTCAATGCACCATCGCTGATGATACGAAGGTACCACTTACCGGCGATAATACGATTCATCATTAAAAATCAATCATCATCACTGCTACTGGTATGGACACAAGGGAGGTTTGCCTATGTTTAACCCTTTAATGTCAGCTGTTTATCGTTCAATAGATTCCCAGAATATGATTTTGGATTATTGCAAAGATTTAAAATAAATTTGTTGTGAACGTTTGTAAACAATTTGACTACCACACCTGTTCCTGTGACAGTTTGTGTCTAACAATAAAAATCAATAATTCAATCAAACTCCTAGCTGACTGGACTGGGATTTGGAATTTCCCACACCCCTCGATTGGCATTGTGTTACACTTCATCTACTACATTTTTATCTACTAATAGCAATTTGAGAGTTACCCTCCTCATCCTCCCTGATATCAATCTGAACATTACAACAACCCAATGTGCACTTACCTAACCTCAATAATTACTTTCTGGAGGCTTATCAGGTTGTCAGTTTATGTCCAATTCACTTCTATTATAACAGCTATCACAACAATTCTTGATTGTTGATGAAGATTGAAGTTAAAGTTGTGATTTATGTTAATTAATTTGCATAAATTATGATTTGAATATGCCTGGTTGGCAATATTTGAATTTTCGAAATTATTAAACTTAAAAAAATGAGATAAATGTGAAGTAGATATTATAACCAAACACAAATCGAACAGAATATCAAAAGATCGAAGCAATTGGAAGAAATGAAAATGCAATAGAACATTTTATGCCCTAATAAAATTAGAATCTAAAAACAGAGCCTTAGGATATTTACAGACACGACTTGTGAAACGGACGAAGAAATTCACTCTTTAAAAATTTCAGTATTCGAAAATGTTGGATGCTAGGATTGTGCAAGGATTGGGGACATCGGCCAATGGAATATAGCGAAATAGAAAAAATATATTAATTCCAAATGTATGATATCGAAAATGCGAAATAGCACGCAATATTTATGATAGTGTTTTGCAATTACATAGCTACTTCTCCTTAGATGGCATTGAAAATAATATAATTCATTTAACGTATAGCCCTCATATTTTGTGCTTGTTTTTCGTTTTTTTTCGGATATTTTGTTTTCTCATTGAGTATAAAATATCCCTACCAAAAATGGACAATGATATGCGCTAATTTTTTATATTTCAGCTTCTCATTGGTTGTTAAACCGTTTATACCAAAATTTGCCTATTAAGTCGCTCCCAATGCACTATGTTATACTGTAATGGATAACGGGCGGGTCGGATAATGGAAAGTGGTCATATATAGACTGAGCGGATGTTCACGCACACGAAATATAAAAAAGAGGGACGAATATTGAATACCTGTGATAGTAAATACCAAAAATAGGGAGGGATTATTATATGAGGGATGATGCCTTAATTAAAATTAAAAGTAGTCTTCCCAAAAAATTTGACCAATAGTCATAATTTTTGGCAGGAAGATTTGGCACCCAATTAGAACCTCACACACTTAGCTGGCTTCAGGCAGAATATTTGTTCCATAAGCCAAACTTAAACCAGTAAGGAAAGTAGTAAAGTCGGACGGGGCCGACTATATGATACCCTTCACCACTTTGGGTATATTCAACAGATGAATCCTAACAGACGTCGAATTTTTAAACATGTCATTCTGTAACCTACACTAAATTTTTCATTTGGTCAGATATAGGGTTGCTTCTTACAATGGCACAATAATATTTAAAGCAATGTAAAGGAAATATATATATATAAGCTATATCGAAATCTAAACCGATTTCATTGTCACTAGTTAAGTTATATGCATTATGTACTTAAAACCGGGAGAAAATATATATAGGAGCTCTATCCAAATCTGAACCGATTTTCACGAAACTTAACACACATAATTCTAGACCTAATTCATTACGCTATACCAAATTTCGTGCAAATCGAAAGATATAGGGACTTTGGTGCACCATTTACATTAAATCGGACGAAAATATATTGGATAATAAATGCGACCTGTACTTTGTTTACAATTTAACATGGACAGACAGACGGACGGGCGGACATGCATAAATCGATTTAAAAAGTGATTCTATGCATATCACTTTTTTGCACGAGTATCCATGCTTCAGATCCATACAGCGGCAGGGTAGTATCGGCGTCATGTAGAGTTTGGACTAGCAAGAGGTGGCCTTGTTTTTGAATTGCAGACTCAGACCATAGTAGCATCGTTGGTCAACTCTATTCCTCTCCTGTTTATTTATGAGGGTACGGAGGTATATAAAATCTTTGACTACCTATAAACTGTAGTTCTCAAGTTCCACAAATGGTCCGAATCTAATGGACGTCTTGTGCGTTGATACAATCGGCTTGATCTTCTCGCTATTTACTGTCAGTCCCACTTAAATTCATTAAAAAGTGGCTGTTACCACTCGCAATGTTCGACCCATTATGTCGATGTCGCCGGCCTAGGCGAGTAAAATGGGCAGAGTGCCATTATAAAGGTCACACGACAAACTGTCACCTTGTCTGAATCCTCGTTCGGTATTGAAGGGATCCGAGAGGTCCCTTTCGACATAAACTGCTGACCTTGTGTCAGATAAAGTTATCCCGAATAGCCGTATTAATTTTGCAGAAATGCCGAGCGGAGTGGATTAGGCTGTCGAATGCGGCTTTATAGTCGACGAATGTGTGGAATGTGTCGATGTGGTGATCTGTTGTGGATTTGCCAGGTCTGAAACCGCATTGATAAGATGCAATAATATCATTAACCATTGACTTCAGTCGTTCACACAGCACGCAGGATAACACTTTGTATGCGATGAGAAGGATAATATTTCCTCTATAGTTGGCACATATCGTATTGCCTCCTTTTTTGCACGGGGCACAAATTCACTTGGTGCATGTTCCTGATCAGCGTCTGGTCACCGGTCTGGAATAGTTTGGCTGGTAATCCATCGGCACTTGCTGCTTTATTATTCATCGCAAGATTGATTGCTACTCTGATCTCATATTGGCTAGGTGGTATAAAATCTATACCGCCATCTCTTATTAATTCTGGCGTATCTTCTTCACCGCCACTATTTGATATCAGAAGCTTTTCTGTATCTGTCACCAAATTTCCTTCTTCATCTCTACAAGAAGATGTGCCTGTACCAAAGTCTTCGGTTTGGTGTTATACTCGCTGGTAAAATTTCCGGACTTCATTCTGACTACTGTACATCTCGATTTGCTCACGCTTACGTTTTTTTCTTATTGTTTCTTCTTCTTTTTTTTGAAAATACCTTTCTTTTCTCTCCTTTTCCCACAATAATTCTACCTCGCATTAGGTGTTGCTGCTGTGTGCAGGGTTGCCCTATATGCTGCATTTTTCACCTCAGTAGCATTACGAATCGTACCATGCGTTTCTTCAAGCATGCAACCAAATATACTAAATTAGCCAATTCGATCGAAAAACTTGTTCAAAATACTTAAAATCCGCATATATTGGTGCTACCCCAAAATATTGGCCGATATTGATAATTTTTAGTAGAGAGACCTCATATCAAATGAGAATACCACATACCAAATTACAACATTTTCGGTTGAAAAAATTTATCAAACTCCTTCAAAATACCGACATTTTGGGGGTACTTTTTTATGAGGTATACCTTATGAAGTGGACCGATATAGATAATTTTTAGTGTGATGATTTTGTACCCAAAAATAACACAAATTGCCAAATTACAAAGAGATAGTGTGAAGATTTGGCACCCAATGTGTCAAAACTCCAATACCAAATATTTGGGGGTACCGTTATGTGGGAACTATGCCTATACGTGGACCGATATAGCCCATTATCGAACTTGACCTACCTACAGACAAAAGACAATTCTGTGCAAAAATTTGACGACTTATCTCAATTCGTTTAGAGGCTAAGGAGAATAAAAACTCCTGAATAAAAAGAAAAAAAATTGAAAAAAAATTCTTTTATATTTATTTTGTTGAGATTCATTCAATACTTTATTGAGGCAGTATGTGACCAATGTCACTCTGCCTATTGCTGTAATTATAAAAAAATTAATAATAATAAAAAAACGTTTGTAAACAAAATTTATACAAAAAAATCTACAAAAACTAAAAGCTAGCGCAATAGCTTCTACCTAAGCCAAGTATGGAAATAAGAAGTTGTATTGAAGATAAAGCTTTAAATTTAGGTGGCTGTAGTAGACGATGTCGAAAATTCTCATTTGCTTGTTTTTTGTTTAGTTGAAAAGCTTAGTCAAAGCATAAGCCAAGAGACCCATGAAAGGAGCAGAGATAGCAGCAATGCTTACAGCTGAATTGCGGCTGGCACAGATTTTGGGCATGGGTTGGGAAATGTAACTGCACAATACACCGACAAAATCGCTTTGAGCACGGTCATTGACTTTGGCATCGTATTGCTGGAAATGGAAAATTGAAAATAATTATTGGAGTTTTATATGTGTGTAAAATATTCATTTGTTTTATTTCTTACATTTTTGAAAACCACAACGGGCACACTCTTCAATGGATTCATAAAGTGATTGGTGGTCTGGCCATGCTTCATCAACAATTGACTGCCCTCGGTGTTGTTGGCACATGTCTGAATATTCTCCCAGGTGTTAATTTGGTTGTCACGGGCACACTTAGCTCCTGGATAGACATTATCGGGGAAATTCTTGCCGATTTTCATCATGCAATTGATAAAGTCCAAAGTGAGAGATTCACGTGTGAATTCAACCTGGTACGAGTTGGCCTGAATGTGTTCAATGGCACAGGCATGCACCTTGTTGCCATAGCACTCATTGGGACCATGATGGCATGTGAACATAACATCCGAACCTTGTGTGGAGAACTGAAAGTGAACAACAAATGCAACTCTAATTATTCCCACACGGATTTTGAAAAACAAAACAGAAACGAGTGCCCACATACCTGTGATTTACCGAATGGCACCCACTCAATGTTAACATGGTCTTTCAATTCTCCTTTAACGGCTGGATAAATTTGCTCAGTGATCAGCTTGGCACTATCCGGACACAGCGATTCATAATAGACGGTAATGGGCACCTGTAACAAAAAGAAAATAGAACAAAAAATGAGAACAATGAGGAAGGAGTCATTTTGTAAACAGCAACAATACTGTCATCATAATAATCTTGCAATTCGATTATCTAGTCTATTGGTGGTGTGCCTTTATCCTGCTATCATTCAGTTGGTGGACTGGCGATGTTATTTGTGTTAACGTAAACAGTAGCCAGAGTTGCAGTTGTTTTCTTTTTTGTTTTTCTATAAACGCATTTCCGTTTCCTTTATTTTATTCCATGTTGTGTCACAACACATAAAGCAGAATTTCGTTGTTGTTGTTGCGGATAAAAGCATACAATTTCGAAAGTAAATAAATAAAGTGATTTAAGTAACAGAAATGGCTTGTTGCGAAAGAAATAAATTATGATCAATTTATATTTTTATTGAACGGTTTCTTACTCCAAGCTATTGTTTCACGGAACATAACTTAAAATGTTATCAATTCCAATTTTTTTTTGATTATTTAATATGGATTCTCTAGAATGATCTGGTTGATAAACTCCTCTAAAACGTGTCCAAAATCTTCGAAATATAGAAATTTGAGGGGTGGCGTCATATGGGGCAACCCAAAATATTGGACTAATATTTATCATTTTTAAAAGGGCGATTTGGTACCCAATTAGAACACAACATACCCAATTACAGTCAATTCGATGGAAAATGTGTTCAAAATACCAAAATTAGGGGGTATCCTTAAATCAGGTAGCTCCTAATATTAATAATTTTTGGCATGAAGATTAGATAGCCAGTGAGTATTAAAAATATCAAACTACAGCCAATTTGGTTGAAAAACGTGTCAAAAATTCTCAAAATACCGAATATAGAGGGTACCGTGGAAGCATTACCAAAATATGGCCTGATGCATATTCGATCCACTAATTTCCATAGATATAGATAGATTTTGTGCAAAATTTCAGCAACATATCTCAAATGGTTTAGAAGTTATCAATTTCAGTTATTTTGACCACTGTGCGTCGCTTGAAATCTAAATACATATAGTCCTTTCGTACAGCTCTTCCACTAAGCACAGAATTTCTTCTGAACGCTTTACAATCAAATCTACTTAAACAACTAAAGGTACGATCGTCTTCAAATACCCAACTTAAATGCCATCCCGCCCTATATACGATGTATCCGTACTTATTAATTTTAGTAACAGTTTTCCGTTAAGTTCGGCCAGTACCGGATATACATCGGAACATTTATGTGGAGACAAGCCATGAGAACCCAAATTATCAAAGTAAATCAGATTCAGCCGAAAAACGACCTCACAATCTTTACTTAGCTGGATTGTGACAGAACATTTGTTTCATAAGCCGAGCTTAAAAAAGATTTCCAGACGCGTCGGTCTTGTGTGCAACTCTTTAATTTGAAAGACCATGTTCCGAAATGTTGTCTTCTACTTGATCTTTCCATCGGATTCGTGGCCTTCCCTTCATCGCGAATCATCAGTTGGCTCGCTTTTATATGCCTTTTGAGCTGGGGCATCCTCAGCCATTCTCACAACATGACCTAGCCAACGTAGTCGCTGCAGCTCGATACGTCCGACTATGTCGATGTCCGAGAATAGATGGTACAACTCATGGTTCATTCAAAGGCGATATCCACCGCCGACGCATATCGGCTCATAGATCTTTCGGAGAATTGTTTTCTCAAGCACTACACGAGCTGTGTCATTTGCTTGAGGTAGTATCCATGTTTCAGATCCATACAACAGCACGGGTAGTATCAGTGTCTTGTAGAGTGTGAGTTTGGTCTGGTGGGAGATGACCTTGTTTTTGAATTGCTTGTTCAGACCATAGTAGCATCTGCTGTCAACTGTCAACTTGTTTGAATCCTCGTTCGGTATTAAAGGGCTCCGAGAAGTCTTTTCCGACTTTGCTGACCTTGTGCCACTTAAAGTTATTCTGCATAGCCGTATTAATTTTGTGGGAATGCAGAACGCTGAAATAATTTAAACACCTCTGACCGGATTGGGCTGTCGAATGCTGCTTATAGTCGACGAATAGATGGAATGTGTCGATTTGTTTTTTGTGGGCCTCTTCCATAATTTGGCGCAGAGTTATTATCTGGTCTATGGTGGATTTTACAGGCCCTGCATTACATCCGAATAATAGTGGATAATAAATCATACCCCAAAAGTTGAGTCAATTGGTCTGTTCCCACACTGCAAGAATCTACCATATTTTATTCGATATCATAAAGGAAAAAAGTGTTATCGTAGTAAAAAAGAGTAGATTCTTGTAGTACGGGAACATATCAAATATTGATTTATTATTGAGCTTTGGTATGGAGATTTTCTACACAATTATGATCCAAAAGACCTAATAACGGCCGATTTGGCGGAAAAACGTGCCAAAAATATCGAAAATTGGGAAGTACCGTTAATGAAGGCTACCCTAAAAAGCGGACCAATATTGATAATCCTTGGTAGGAAGTTATACTACCGAGCGAGAAACCAATATACCTTATGGCCCATTAGGTTCAAAGCCGTGACCAAAATTCCAAGATTACTGTTATATGGGGGCAATATCACAATGTGGAGCGATATATCTCATTATTTTATACCAAAGATCCTAGGAGTAGCACGAATGTATGTGCAAAATTTCAAAGTCCTATCTTAAATATGATGAGCTTTATCGCGACTTCATTAGACGACATATTCAGATCAAGTAGTCGTATGGGGTCTCCGCTGATTATTTCGAGGTGTTGCAAACGGCTTGGCAAATTTAATATGGAGCAGGGTATAAATACACGATATGGATAAGCATGCGAGTACTCATGCTTTTTGTTTTTTTATTTTAATAACAACTAACCCAATTTGTCTTATGTATTAGACTTTTTTTTTACTTTTCGACTTCAATAAAACGAAATCATTATAGTACAAGAATGCGGGTTACAAATTAACTTCATTTGACCACTCTTTATCAATGCGACATTTCTGACATTTCGTTGACCCACAAAATGCAACAAACAACATTGTTGACTTTGAGAAAGAAATCAATTAAAACCCTTAGGATAAATGGATGCAGGTCACTCATACAGAAATAGCATCTTCAGTCTGAATCTCCCCCACTAAAGAGTTACACACAATTCACATTCGTTGTAACAATTGAAATCTCTACAGAAATTCTAATTAGCTAGCCGATGTTAATGAATGTATATTTCTCAAAACGGTGGATTGTAATAAGCGAAAGTTACAATACAAAAATACAGACATACATACACATGTCAGATGCTGAGTTGTGAAAAATAACAAATAAAACATGACATCAGTTAGCTAGCGATATAAATTATAATTTGTTGAGATTGACTCTGAGGGAAATGCTAATTTTCATAAATTGTGTAGACACCATCCAATAATTTGATATTGACACGATATGCAGTAGTTGTAATGTTCGGTTAGAAAGCTTTGTCTTGCTTTTGTTTGTTAAAGTTTTAAATGAAATCAATTTTGTCAATAAAAAATAGTACACAAAAGCGACATACAAATTGCAATATAATAAGAGCCCTATTTGTAATTACTATTGTTACGAATATAACTTTAGATTTAAGTTAATTTAGATGAATTCCGTTAATTTAAGAATTTGAATTGTAACGTAAATTTCTACTACGCAGTTTATTTGAATAACTTCACAACAACAACCACTGTATAGATTTTTCTACATCCTTCCATTTCCTCTTTCATTTTCTATTTTGTTATTGTCGTACAATTCTTGTTAAACGTCATTCCTCTTTCTTTGTTATTCCCTCGCCTGTATATGTGTTGTTGTTATTGTAAGTTTGTTTACTCAAGTTTGTTGTTGTTATTGTTCACTCAGTAAGTTTGTTGTTGTTATTGTTACTCAATGTGTTTGTTGCATTGGTAGATTGTTCGTGATCTAGGTGTTACCAGATCGTCTAGAAACTTCTGTAGCGACAGGCAGGGCTCATATAAATAGAGGGAATGGAAAGGCAGTGAGTCAGTTGTGAATCAGATCGCGAATTGAAACCGTCGTGTAAAGTAAAGTGCAAAGTAAAGTTGTGTGAATAAAATCATTGTAATAATCGTAATCCGAAAGAACCTGCGTTTTATTTGGTACGAATTGTATCGGGAAATAAAACAACGTCTACACGGGATTTAGTAAAACCCAAGAACGTAACAATTGGTGTCGGAAGTGAGATTACGATAATACTACGATGAAGTTTAAGGATCTACGAGTGGAAGACTTGAAGAAGGAGCTGAATAAATTGGAATTGTCCTCTACTGGCAACAAGGCCGAGCTACAAAAACGTCTGTTGGATGAGTTCGAGCGCCGTGGTATGAACATCGATACATATGAGTTTGACAGTAAGGATGAAGTGGATTTATCGGAAATGGGCGAATCCAACGGTGGGGAAGTCTCGTCAGTAGCTGCCAGGGGTGACGATTTCAGAGAAATGCTGGCTAAAATGTTCGAAGAGAATTCCAGAAACACGAGACGAATGTTCGAAGAAAATTCGAGAATAACGAACGAGAAACTCGAGTACATTACAGAAGTTATTGGAAGGAGAGTGGAAACCGTGGAGGTCCAAATTAAAGATTTGGATAAGAAAGTGCAGTCGGTTGACGAGAAATTTCTGGCCCACGACCACAGGTTTACGAATCTGGAGAAGAAAATTTCGGAACTGGAAATTAAAGGTGGTCCGGTGCGAGTTCCTGATAACGCACTAAAAATCAAACCTCCTGTATTCGACGGCTCTACGTCATTCAATGTTTTCAAGTTACAGTTCGAGACAGTGGCTTCTAGAAATTCGTGGAACGACAGCGACAAAGCGGTTGCACTACTTCTGGCATTGAAGGGCAGTGCTGCTGATGTTATACAGAGTATTCCTGTCGCTTCTAGGAACAACTATGAAGATGTTATTGCTGCACTGGAACGTAAGTACGGTGGCGAACATAAACAAAACATCTACCTTATGGAACTAAGGGGAAGAGTGCAGAGGGCAAACGAGACGTTGCA